GACAAACTGTAAATTCACAGCAGGTCTAGAAGGAACCCCTAGGAAGCCAGGCAACATCTCAGGTGTCACCTAATGTCACAGGTGACCCACCTGATGGCCTCCTGTCACCTGAGCAGGCCTGACTTCAAGACAGCGTGGAACAGACTTTGCAGCATCGCTGGGCGCACTATGCGACGGGTCAAAGGCAAGACCCACCTCTCAGGAAGTTAAGACAGAACTCGGACAGAGACATGATGCAAAGAGACACCTGGGGACCAGGGGCAAGGTATGGACCAGAACTAAAGTACCCCAGCAGGACATCTGGACTCCACGTCCTTTTGCTCCGCCACCCCCTCTCCCACTTTTCACCACCTCCTTCTCTAATCCACGTTGGTATTAACTCAGCTGGAAACGGGGCACCGTCTGGTATCTCTTAAGGGTTTCCCTGATAGCTTGAGAGTTCGCTTCCCTCATATGCTAACAAAACAGTCGAGCTTCTAAATCAGCCAGGAGCCTCCCAGGAGAAGGGCGGAGTTGCTCAAAATTGTCAAGGTCAACCGCACCCGACATTGATTTTTGTTGTCAAGGTCTGCAGATTAGAACTTTAGATGGCTCCTAGCATCAAGACCTGATCATAGTATTTTAGTCACTTTCGCATCACTGTGATCAAAAGACCAGACAAGAACAACTTGAGAGAGGAAAAAATGTATTTGGGCTCAGAGTTTCAGAGTTTTGGTCCGTGGTTGGCCGACTCCATGGCTCTGGCCCAAGGGGAGCAGAACAAGATGGCGGCAGGGCCTGGAGGAGGAGAGCAGCTCAGGACAGGGCACCAGGGAGCAGAGAGAGCTCTGTTCACCAGGGACAGGACAGAGACCCCAAAGGCACAGCCCAGGGACCCCCTCCTCCAGCCACACCCCACCTGCTGCAGTCACCACCCAGTGAGTCCATTCAAGTGGATTAATCCACTGATGAGATTATACCTTTCATTATTTCACTTGTGAACATTCTTGCATTATTTGACACACGAGCTTTTGGGGGACACCTCATTGAAACCATAATACACGGTATCTGTTTAGACAAGACTATAAGAAAAAGTTCCCGAAGCTAACAGTATCAGCACCGATCTCTGCTGCCTACAGTTAAGTTACAGATTATTTTATTGGTGCACCGTGGGAAGGCAGAAAACAGGAACTGCCACTCTTTAACGGAGTGCTTACACAAATCAAATTGGTGGGTTTTGACATGTTAACAAAGACCTAAATGTGACTTGATCTGTAATCTCTCTAATCAGCACTATTTTTCTTAAACTCACATGTCTGTGCTTATTTTCAGAGGTTCCCAAGTTCCTATAATTAGCAGGTACAAATGAATATTTTGGAAACCAAGCCAGCCCACACTACTTACTGTACCGGTAAAACACTGCCCTAAGACGACTGCGTTCACTGAATAGAAAGAGTCAAATTACAGTGTCCCCTGGGATAAGGAAAGAAGTCCTAACCTGCACCCAGGTACAAGACATCGCTCTTCCCAATGTATTGATAGGACTTGTAAAATACAGTGAGCAACAGGAAAAGACTCCACCCTAAGATAGGCTTTCTTATCTGGTTCTTATCTAGTGGGAAAACCAAAATTATGATTTCAGTGAGTCCTTTTCGGGGAAAGACAGCTGCTCTTCGGATTTCGTTATGGGGCTCTGCTGTCCAAAACGTGGGGGATTCTGAAAGCTGAAACTGACCTCTAGTCGTAGTTTTTAAAAGTCACAGCAAAAGGACCCATGAGGCATATCAACTGCACGATACTGACACATTCCGAAATAATTAAATAAAATAAATACAGCTCGGGTCAATACGAGAGTCGTGTCTGCACCCCGGGCTGACGATAATGAGGCCCAGCAGGCCTTTATCTGGTGGTCAGTGACCCACGGTGGGCTCTGAGCTCCGAGGCTCGGCAGTCCACTTAAGTCGGAGATGAATGGCCAGAGTCACGGAAGAGAAAATAAACAATGAAACAGAGAAGGCTGCAGGCAGTCGGGGCCACTTGGACCTGGAGAGCGTCATAAGTGATAAATTAAGAAACCAGCTCCTGAAAGACTCGGGCAACACAGAAGGCACCATGAAATGCACAGTCCCCTCCGGACGGCATATCACAGGAGGCTTCTGGAAGCCGGCACTACTCACGGTGGGGCTGGGGAGTCGTGCTACGAGGATCCCTTGAGCTGCATCCCTGCCCCGTAACCATCACACGCCATGAGCACTCTCTCCTGCAACCTGGGACACACAGAATTCTCCCCACACACTGCTAAATGCCGTGGAGGACAGAAAAAGCAGCCCCTGACCTCTCCCCTCCACTGGCCTTCCACAGACATGGCCCCCCAGGATAACCCTGTGCGGCTCTGCTGCCTTGGGCAGGTGCCCTCGCCTCTGCAGGAACAAATCATTTTCTCTACTCAGTCCCTTTCGGTACCACTTCACGACGTCACGAGGGCTGGTTTCTGTGGTTCAGATAATGTACCTGTGATCCAGAGCGACTCCTTTACCACGGGGTGGATGACAGCAGCATTATAAAGGCAGTACTCTGCAAACTCTATTAACGTGCCTTCTGTTTCTCCCCCCTGTGAGCACATCCCCCTCCCTGGCTATTCTGAGGCCGGGCCTGGGGCAAGGACAGGTCTGCTAGACCACTGCTGCAAAACTCTGAGCTACGGAGCAAAATGCAAATGGCAGTCCAGGGTGTGCGCTGAGCTACTTGCACAGCTCAGGGACCGTTCTCTTTCATGAGGACAGTTGCAAAGACCATGCTTTGCTGCACAGAAGAATTTTTTAAGTCAAAAGTTTCTTAAGTCCAAATAGCTGCCAGTCAACGCGAGCCTACCCTGGTGCCCTCTACGTACGCACGCACTCACACGTGCGCACACATCAGGTGCCACAGGTGTATATTTATGCCAGGAGAGAGAACTCTGCACGTGAAATGCTCTTTCATTCCGGGAGCACAGGAGAATCAATGTGAAGAACTGTAGGTCGCTCTGATATGTGGGAAGTAACCAGGTGAGCGACTCGGCATCTCTGAGAAGAGCGCACACCCTCAGCACCGTGGACAGACACTGAGGAAGGGCAGAAACCCTGGATCCCTGGAATCCACAGGCGTGCAGGAGAAGACGCAGCCGTGAGCACAGCCAACCCTAAGAGCCTCCCCCTCCAGCTCCTGGGTGCTGCTGAGGTTGGACGGAGGACAGTCAGGTGGGTCAGGCTCCAGGGCTGCTTCCTGTCCAGCAGCAGGGCGGTCACCTGCCTGAGCAGCATGTGTGTCTGAGGTAGCAGATATTCCATGGACACTCCCCAGGCTCCCGCAGCGAGGGCAGATGGCAGGTGGCACAGCGGGGAGCACCTTCCATACCATGTCTGCAGGCTGAGCAGCTCTTCAGCCGCAAGCACAGGGCAGACTGCTGGGGCGGGGAGCAGACGGGGCGCCCCACCACCACCACCTCCCAGACACTAGCTCAGATGGAAAGAGACCTGGGAGACAGCAAAACTCGTGCAATGCGTGCATGATTCTGCACGGAACCTCTGCACCACAAGAATGTTCAGAGAGCTCTAAGAACTGAACTGGGATCTGGGCTGAGGCCGACCTCCTGACCCGATGGCTGTACCTGGTTCCGCAGAACGCCTCTCTCTACAGGAAACAGCATGCTCAAGTACTCTGCCTCCAACCAGCCTCGAAGGGCTGAGGATGTCAAGAAGTGCACAGAACATTTTGTAAATAAGAGTTTTTCAAAATAAACAAAGAATATGGATGGATTTTCTTTTAAATGAGTGGGAATTTTAAAGGCCTCCAGAAAGATCAGTTTTGAATAGTCAGAAATGTTCTGCTAATCCATTCATGAAAATGTACATTGTCAAGAAGAAGGGAAGACTTGGGGAATACTAAGCCTATTTCAAATAAAAATGCTCTGCAAAGAGTCTGACTTTGTTGAGGAGAGCGAATAAAGAAGTATTATCTTAGAGGAGAGAAGAAATATTATTGAATTTTTTTTTTTTTTACATTGCCTTTTAGAAAGCCAAGGACGCAGATGTCAGGTGTAAGTATCTTTTTTAATCAGAGGAGGCTCGGTATAGAGCACTTAGCATGTGCAAGGTCCCCGGTTCCATTCCCAGCACAGGAAAAAGAAATTCAGAGCCAGCCTGTTTGATCTCTTTAAGCCAATTTTAAAAGGAGGACGTGCCTCTGGGCCTCAAGTTCAAACACTCGAATGTTCAGGGTCCTTGCCTAGCTGGGTGGGTCCCAAAATCTCAAGGCACATGAATTCTGGGCACTTCATCAGGTACACCGCCACCAGCCTCGATGGTCATCCACAGTAACGCCTGGAGGAATTCCTCACCCAGCGGTGAAAATGACATTCGTGTGAGTAGGGCAGCCACAGCTTCAACACCTTCTTCTGATTTAATCTGCCAAGGTCCCCACTAAGGCTGGTGACCTTAAGCCTTGAGAGGAGGAGGACCCTGATCTAGCCCAGGGGTTCCCCCTGGGGAGCGATTTTGTCCCAAGCTACACTAGACCGCTAAGGTTTCCTGGCACCTCGTGGGTGACAGGCCCGGGGTACTGCTAAACGTTCTGCAGTGTACGTGGTGACCCCATCTGAAGAACTGTCCCGCCCCAAACGTCACGGGTGCGGATGCTGTGAACTTCTTGTGCAAGCCACTCCCTGTGGGGACAGGAGTACCTGGAAGGCCGGGCAGTTAGGCAGAGAGCACGGGGTGGAGAGCCGTCTCCAAAGAGCTACAGCCGGCAGCACCTTGTGAGGGCACGAGACTTGGCCAGGTTCCTGTCCCCAGCGGGTAATACAATTGATTGTTTTATCGGTAAATAGTTAAGAGTTTGCTATTTGGGGTTCATTTTCCTGTTCTCAGGCGATCCCAACTGTTTCCATTTGATCTAAAATGCTGCATTTAATTTAGATCTTAAACACATATGAAATAATAGGTTGTGGACACACAGTCAACGTTTGAAATCCATTCATTTCTTACAGAATTCCCGCATTCAACTGCAGCACAGATACCAAGACCCGAGGGTTCTTCCTTGGAAACACTGTTCCTCTGGACAAGTGGATCCCAGAGACTTCAGCTGAGGGACGTGCTGGATTCCACGTCACGGAGAACCACCACGGCACAGCCACGTCAGGGACCTTCAGGGGAAACCCAGACTAGAGTCAGACACCAACACACCTGCAGGGACTCTGCGTGCGTGGCACCAGTCAGGGACTGAGGATGGTGCGTGGACACCCTAGTCAACAGGGCACGGAGGCCCCTGGAGGCCGAAAGCAGGGACCTCTGAGCCAGGGGTCCAAGGGCTGTTGAGAAAGGGGAGCAGAAGAGAGCCAGTGCGGAGAAGGAGTGGGGGTAACACAGAGCACCCGCGAGTCAGCTCATGGCAACAAGCAGGAGGGAGACAGTGCTAGTGTCCGGGGGCTGCACCCGGATGGCTTACAGGGGCCAGGGCCAGCGCAAGGACATCGCTACTCCTCGTTCCACACGCGGAAGTCAGTTTGAGCAAGTAACATGCTCCCGTCACGGAGCTGAGGAGGGAGTACAAAGGCCCCAGTGTGTCCTGGGAACAAGGGGAAAACAGACACGGACCCTGCGGGAACTAAGATGATCCAGACAATACGTGGGCAGCCCTGGGGGAATCAGACGGCACACTTGCCCCTCTGCGCCCAGGCCACCAGGGGAGGTGGCCAATTCCTATTAAAACCACACATAGGACAGGTGGCTCCAAAACTATAGATAACAACAACTTTCAAGGCAAAAAAAAAAAAAAAAGGGTGAAACTAGTAAAAAGAAAATAAAAGCAGGAAAAAGATAATTCACCATGAAAAAATGATCAAGAATGTGATATAGAAAGAACTAGAAATTATAAAAAAAAAAAAAACTGGAAAAATAAATGTTGGAAAATAATGATGAGATTTTTATGCTGAAATGTGAATTTACGAAATTTAATGATGAAATGTATACGATAGCCGGGTACGATGAGCACACACCTGTAATCCCAGCGACTCCGGAGGCTGAGGGAGGAGGACTGCAGATTCAAAGCCTGCCTCAGTGACCTAGGGAACTTTGCAGACCCTGTCTCTAAATAAAGTATAAAAAAGGGCTGGGGATGTGGCTCAATGGTAAAGCATCCCTGGGTTCAATCCTCAATACCAAAAAAAAAAAAAAAAAAAAAAACCAGATTATTACACTAAAGTTGTGATAACAATGCAATGGATCTTGATTCATGAGAACAGTTTCAATATCAATATGATAAAGAGTATCAATAAGTAAACAACCCCACCATGAAGAATCAAGCATTTCATTTAAGGTACTAAGGTAAGAAACACTATCTTGTTCATTGATATTTCTGAGAAAATTGAATTTTCAGCTCATGGATATAACAGATGCCATTAGAGATAGTGAAGAAATGAACACAAAATCAAGCACTTTTCTGTGAATATGAATGTTGGTCTGGCATCGCAAAACACAACGACTTCTCCAACATCCAGGCAAAAGCAGAAAACAAATCTTCAAATTTTGATATTTTTTGCATTTTAGTAAAAACATGAGAAACCGAAAACTAGTGATTCAATATTTGTGGAAATAACTGCAGTCTATGCAGTGAAAAGGATGTTAGAATATCCTTCATGCTCGAAAGTCATCAGGAGAATGTTATAAAATTCTGGACTCCAAAAGAGATACCAATATTTATTTGCAGTAATTCAATCTCAATATTCTTAATTAAGAAAATGACCTAGTTCTCATCTACCAAACTCAGCAAGCGTTAAAAAGGAAAAAAAAATCAAAATATATGAGAGATCATGAAAAGACCCTACTCGTATGCTTTGTTAGACCTTTTATTAGATTCTGATTCTATGGTGATCTGGATGGAATCTGATAATCTATGTCAGACAGAATGAGAGAAGTAGGGGTTGGTAAAAGAACTGCCCAAGTCAAAAGAGAAACAAAGAATTGTGAAAACCCCCACCAGGACAACCGGCTCCTGATTTGGGTGAGATAAAGCGATTGAGAGTTTTACATCCTGTCAAACGGGAATCCTAATCTTGAATGTCTAGAGAAGTTAACTGGAAGCACCCCTAAGTCCTTAGGATCTCAGACCACCAATCCTCCAGGTCCCGTGGGCCTTTCTTTCAGCCGCTCACCAGAAATCCTTGCTCAGATTTTCATGATGCTCCCGAAATGAAACCCACGGTGGCACCTCCCACCTCCGTATATCAGTGCACACACACCCAGGAAGTAGGCCCACTGCAAAACACGGCAAAATCCACGACACAGCGGCCAACACAGCAGAACAACTCGGACAAGGTGCTGCGACGGAGGTTATGTGACCAGGTTCTTCTCCTCGGAATGCCCCCCCCCCCCCCACGACACTCACCCTCTGGTGACGACAGGAGGAGACTCGGTGCTGAGATGAAGGGGGGTGCATAACAGTGAATCACTGGGATGTGGCGTGAGCTGCTCTGACCTCCTGGGGATACATGGGGAGCTGGAGCATCTCTTCAGCTGGGCCTGGGTCACCTGACCTGGTCGGTGGATGATGTGTGGATTCGCTGCACAAAGAGTCGACTCATTTACCTCCCAGGCAGGAGAAAGCAGGGGCCCCGGGAGGTCCCGTCACGCTGCTCAGGACTGTGCACACGCAGCGTAAGACTTGTGCATCTCTTATTTCTGGAACTTTCCGTGAAAATCTTCAGATTGCTGTTGACTGTGGCCAACTGAAACAGAAAGCAGATCTGTGGGTAAGAGTGTCTGATGTACGTGCTGGCACCTATTTACAAAGGTCTTAACGTCTAGGACAAGACATTGTTCAACGGAATCATAATGATGCTTTTTAAAAACCTGACCTTTTGGGGGACAGACCCAGGTGCATTTGTGTATAGCTGTAAATCTCCCAGCAATCCATAACCCTGACATGCAGCCTGGTCCCCGAGTACTGACCACCAACCCACAGAGGGAGGGGCATCTTCTCAAGGGGTGTGCTGTTCTCAGGCAGTGATGAACTCGGTGTTGCAGGATCACGCACGACCATTTGCCGGGGTGCATGGGACGTGGGGGGCACCTCCATGCATACAGTGAGTGCAATCCCCTGTGACTGGGGCACCCCAACCTGTTCCCTCCCCAGTGTTTCAAGAGACCCCATGGGAAGCAATGGCACACTATTCCCAAACCACTGATTTTCCCTGGGCCCTTTTCCAAGTCCCTCTCTTAGCATCAGCCTTGAATGGGTGGCCAGCATCCCGCCATCTCTTCCGATCTTTGCTTCTCATTTACGGGCGCCTTTGGTAAATGCCACCTGCTCAGATCCTCAACACTGACTCCCTCTCGTGCACACCCTTCTCCTACACTTGTGCTCAGCTCTGTGCAAATCAAGATTTGCAAATGAACTCTGCTTTTGGTAACATGCACACAGCTAGGCTTTCTTACACAAGAAACACCAGAGACGTTTTTATCAGCCAAGTTAACGCCAGTGTAGTTTGAAGAATCCCGGCATCAGGGACTGAAGGAGGTTCAGCCGATGAATACACGATGCGGAAACCTAAAGTGCTAGGCTCAGATATTTTATGCATTCGTATATTGCAGAAACGGGAACACCAGCAAGGACATTTGGAAAGAGTAGTAAATGTCACAATACATCTTCTAATAATTCCAGAGACTGGAATGGCCAGGGTATTCAATCCCCGTAATAGAAAAGTTAAACTTGATCCACAGCATTAGTTATGTGTGTCCCGCTGACAGAAAGCACTGAGATAGCCGTATAAATGAACTTGTTCTCATTCATCCAAGAAATAGTCTGCGGGTTGCGTTTCTTGCTGGAGGTGGTAGAATGGCCAGGATGGAAATTCGGTCATAAAATTCTGATTCTGTCAGAGCTGCTGCTCACAGTGCCTTCCTGCTCCTGGGTTTCAAATGCTCCCAGGCAGCTCTACCCACTTATTAGGGTTGGGCCCAAGGATAGCATTTCAGGGTGGAAAGACTCCTCCTCTGTTCTCGCTCCTGGGCTGCGGACAAGAGTCCTCAACTTCTCCCGGCCCATGAGGGAGCTGTAACAGGAGGCCCAGAATGAGCAGAGATGCCTCAGGAGCCTCATCTTTATTGGAAATCCTGACCTGTGCGATGACAGACACCACCCACCCTCTCAAACCCCGATTGGGGGCTGTGCCACGAGATTCATGGAGAGCACTTCCGCCTGGGTTCAATTGGGTCGATATTCTTGCCGCACTGCCCGTGTGCCAACACTGCAGACTGGCTCTGCAGGTACCCAAATGGCTGTGGGATGACCTTACACGTTGCAAACCATCCGAAGCCACCCTGGTCATTAACCATCAGAGTACTTTGACACAGGCATAAAGAAGGTGGACGTCTCTCCTGTGGCGGGCAGCAGTACTTCTGCCATTTCCCAAGGAAATCGCTTTCTACGGACCACCCATGTCCACGTTTGATGGGCATCTTCTCTCATGATGTCTCTGAAAAAATCAAGGCACTGACAAAGACCGCAAGCTCAGAAAATACACGTGCCGTAGAGGAGGCTGCCCCATCAAGGGATTAAAGGAATAAGAGGGGGTAACGTATGAAGCATCTCCTGATATTTCTAGAAGTCAGGTCCCATGTCCCGGTGAAAAGCTTCATCGATGACACCAGCTCAGAGTCTTGGAACACGTGGCACCGACAGGTGCCAGTCCACGTACAACGTTCTTCACTAAAGGCAGGGGGCACTGGCCTTGCTATGGGCAACAAGAACGCCGGAGCCATGTCAACAACGCACTCAACGTGAAGGGGGACCCTCAGGTTTCGATATCCTGTCGTGCCAACGCCGGGTGATACTACTTCACAGTGCCCAGAACAGGGCTTCACCTGCCTTGCCCTTTATACACAGCTGGGCATCTGAGGTTGGCCTTGAACTTGCAAGCCTCCTGCCTCGGCCTCCGGAGTTGCTGGGATCGTGGTCACACGCCACCATGCCCAGTCCCCACGACTCTTGCAGAGAAGCGGGAACTAAGCACACAAACCCCCGGCTTTGAAACAGAAATTCGCTATTCTACCCACGGTTCCCCAGCTCACAGGACGGAAGCTTCTCAGAGGGAAAGCTGTGCTGGTTGGTTTTCTGAATAAAGCTGTGTGATCTCTGCTTCCAGCCCCACAGCTTTTCCCCGTCCTCTGGGGCCTGTCCCCATCTATCCTGCCCGGGACTGCCTGGACTCCCAAACATCTGTCCTCCATTAGGCACACAACTGAAAAACAGCAGCTTTGAAGCCAAGTAAACGTTTCCAAAATAAATGTTGACTGTGCCAGGAAACATTTCTGAAGGTATTTCAACAGCGCCACTAAGACACATAGAGCATACGGTGCACCGGCAGCACATGGAAAATAGTTTGCAGTTCTTTCTACGCACCGGGGGCTGTTCATGCACGGTTTCCACCTATGCAAGGAGCCAGCCGATACTGGGTGACATGATGTTTCTCAACCTACTACCCACAGAAAACTCAGTAAAAATATTACGTTTGCCAATACCGGTGGTCAGTCCTCGCCCATTTCGAACGCTCTGCAGGCGTGGGCAGTTTAACCCACGCAGCGGAGACCTGGCAGCTCAGGGGATGCAGGAAGACATGAACTCGGCATCCACGGAACGTTGCTGGAGCCGGTCTTGAGTTGATTGTCAACCCTCAGGGAAAAAAGTGTCCCCACCTGGAGTCTTATCAGGAATGGGTGCTGGGTTGACCAGTCATGGCCAGCACAGCTCGTCTAGATCAAGTTTATCCACAGGTCACTTGACTGACTGACGTGAACAAGGATCATGTTTTCCCCAAACTAGAAGCGACAATATTCCTATATTCTGTGTGCGTGTGCGTGCGTGCGTGTGTGTGAACATATATGTGTGTATGTGTGTGTATGTACATGCACACATGTACATATATGCAGATATAAGTGGATAAAATATATTCCTATAGATATTTAAAATTTAACCCTACCTGGTCTTCTTTTCCCTTGAAACTTACTCCTAACATCTGATAGTGCCCAAGTTGGAAATTCCACCCCAGCAGAGGTCTCACTAGTAGTCTCTGATCACTTTCGTAGTCTGTAGTTGGAAAGCCTTTGAAGTCACAAGTAAGTTCGCATCCTGCGGCACAGTTCTCAAGCAGACGCGATTCTGCGTACGTACACACCCCACCCCCTACCCCCACGTGGGGACGCTGGACAATGAGGGGAGACCTTTCCGGCTGAGAGGACCGAGGGAGGCTACTCCACCGAGCGCACAGAGACCAGAGACGGTGCGAGGTGTCTTAGGATGCTCAGCACAGCCCCAGCAGCGGAGAAGATCCAGTCCTTCCCGTCGATGATGCCAAGGTTTGAAAAAAAAAAAAACAGGATTTATCAACAGTGTCATCAGTAGATACAACAAATTTGAAATATTTTATATTTTATAAAGTAGATTCTTTAAAACACAGAGCACTTGTGGGGATGGGGCTGTAGCTCTGTGGCAGAGCACTTGCCTAGCACATGTGAGGCACTGGGCTCAGTCTAAGACCCCATAAACAGAAACAAAGTAAAGGCACGCTGTCTGTCCATCTATAACTGCAAAAAGTAAAATATATAGATGCATAGCACCTGTTCTAAAATTCTCCGCTTAAATAAGAATAAACTAAATATGGGCTAAGAATAGACAGAAAAGTAAGTGAACTTTGAACAAGTTAACTTTGAAGTTAACTTTAAAACTCAGGTTGGTGAATGTGAAGGTAAACACAGACATTTTCTCTTCTAGAAAGTCAAATTCTTTATATTCCCTAGGAAAAAAAAAAGGTCTCTTCCTATTTTCCTTAAGACACACTTAAAAATGTTCTTACAAAGGCATTTCAGAAAACCAGAACGTTCTTCGGAGGAAATGCAGACACCTCTTGCAGGTGTGTGAGGCATCAGATTGGCCAGGTTCCGTCCGAGGTTTCGGAACCTAAGCTCCTGGGCTGAGGGTCTGGCTGGTGGGAGGGCAGGGGTCCACCAGGCACGAGGCCCTGGGGTCAACGCCCAGCACAACGACCAAAAAAAAAACCAACACAAAAGACCATGTATTTTGCGACTCCATTCATATAAAATGCCTTGAATAAGGAATCCAACAGACGCAGCTGAGGTCGGCAGAAGAAATAGTCAAAGAACATGGGATTATTATTATTTTTTTTAATGGTCAGATAAACTCCGTACGCCGTGGCTATGCACACAGCCCAGGGTCATCCGTGTGGCACATGCACAGTGAACTTCCTGGGTGGCTGTGCACCTGACGCTCACATCTGCCCTCAGCTCCCCATCTGTCGGAGATGGAGACCCGAGCCTCTGCTACGTAACCTCGGCCTTTCTCTGGCAGCTGTACCAATCGATGCACTCGCAGAACCTGAAATACCTGGATGTCTACTAAATACGGCTCTTGCTGATGCCAGAAGGTGAAATGGTAGTGACTGTGGCATCAAATTGTCACATCCTCCAAAAAAAAACAAAAACAAAAACAAATGCTGTCTACATGGTTCTTTCTTACACTCTCCCTTTATTGTGTTACTTTTTGGCCACTTTCCAGATACGATGGCATCGATAACTGAAGTATGCACCCTAGGCAGGTGGTTCTTCTTTTTTTTTAGGAATGTAGACATCAGACAAATTTCATTTAGCTCCTTGGCCAAAAAGCCACTCTGACTATGTCAGCTCTCTGCTACTGTTTCAAACACCTGAGGACGGTCAACTTAAAAAGAGGAAAGGTTCATTTGGGCTCACGGCGACAGAGGTTTCCTTCTACGGTTGGTTGACCTCGCTTCCTCTGGGCTTGGGGCAAGGCTGCACATCACAACGGAAGCAGATGGTGCAGGAAACTGCTCACCTCGTGGTCACTGGGAAGCAACAAAGAACCAAACGAGGGGCCAGGGTCCCACAGTCGCCTCGTGCACCCACTTCCTCCCAGGAGGCCCCACCACCTCCCCGCAGTGCCATGATTGGGGGACCAAGTCTTTAAGACTTGGGAGGTGGACATTCAAGGTCCGGGGAATAGCGGCTAGCCTCATTTTTCTCTTAGGGTCTAAGACCTAAACTCCGGGTCCTCTAAACCCAGCCCCCAGGTCCCAACAAAAACTTCACCCCCAAGTCTGGCAGAAGTGCAGCTTACCCACCCTCGCTCCAGGTCGACACAATCGGACCCCCTGGGAGCCGGCAGGGCCAGCGGGGCCCTCACAGCCCTCTGATCATCCGACGGAGACAAGGACTTGAGAAGCGACATCTTGGATCAGGGGTTCTCAAAGTCCAGGGGGTGCAGAAATCCCCTGGGGCTCTGCTTAAAGAGGCAGGCTCCGCCCTGATGCAGCACCAGACATTCCTGTTTCCCAAACTGTAACTTAGGTAACTGGGGCTTGATGGGTACCTTCATGGTCATCCTCTCTGACACACAGGTGTCACTGAGAGGATCCCGCAGTGACGGGGCGCGGGCAGGGAATCGATTTCACTGAGGACGGGGAGGAAGACAGCCACTGTTTCCACGCATTCGTCATCCCGCAGAGGTACGCCAGGCCACTGTGGCTGGACACCAACTCTCGAGGGGGTCTGGGTTAGACACCCGTGTCCCCTGATAGCTCCCTCTGTGTGCAGGACCAACATCAGAGCAACCTTGTCGATGAAGTGACCGCTAGAATGGTTGCCAGGAACTGGACACCGGCCACCTGCAGCCGCTGGGAAGTGGCCGCTATAGCTGGGATCCTCAGTGTCCCCCAGAAGCCCACATGGCAAAGGCATGATACACCCGCTGGTTGTGACCGGGAGGTGGACAAAGTCACAAAGTGGGGCCTGGTGGGAGGTCTCCCACGGTGGCCTTCCCAGTCCCTCCTGACACGGACAGCCAAGCCTCCATGCAGTCCCATCTAGGACAAGGAGAAGTCCCCTGGCCCCATCTACACAGAAGGCAGAGCCCCACGAACAACTGAGCTCAGCGCACCTCAGGGCACCCTGAACTCATGCTCCCTCCCACCCCTCAACCAGGGCTCTAGAAAGTCCACGCTCTCCGAGGGAGTCTGCATCAGGACCCCACTGATGGCTGCTGATCTGACTTTTTTCTTTTCGTTTCCAAGGTCAACGAAAGCCACTTGTGGTTCCATGAGAATGCGGTCGAGAAGCAGGAGGAGATCCACTTCCTTCCTGCACCCTGCAGACGGCAGCTGGGGGTGAGCTGGCCCGTTCTGTCCCCTCCCTGGTGACGCACAGGAGGCTACGTGCAAACGGAAAAACGGCAATCACGTGACATGGGGGTGCCACTTCTGGAGGAATCTTAAAGGTATTTCGTAAGAAGTTGTGACGCTGCATAAAAAGGAGCTACACCAACAATTCACCCAATTATTAGTTCGGGCACAGACTGCGACCACTCCCCCTCAACAGTGGGTGCAACACGGCATCTGATACGAAACCCCCATCTATCTTGCAGAGCTCATCATATACACGTGTGTATGTGTGTGTATTCATTTACATATATGTGACATGTATACGCACATATGTGCAGGTATTACAGAATCCATCGTATATATACATATGCGTAGGGTGTGTGTGTGCATGGGTGTGTGCACAATGCTCGAACGTGTGGCTCTATCTCGCAAGCTAGACCTTATTGCAGAGCGCGGGCTGTCACAGTGCCCTACGGTCGTGTGCCACACAGCAATGTCTGAGTCACACACAGAGTTCACACTGTGGCTGTGCCACGGCCGTCTTGGCTGGCACAGGTCCCCTTGGGTTCATCAACTTCCCGTGGCATGAAAAAGGCCTGAGGAAAACGACTTACAGGGGGAAAGACTTTCTGGGGCTCATGGTTTCAGACGTCTGAGTTGGGGGTTAACAGGCTCCACTGCTTCTGGACCTGTTGTGAGGCACAAAATCACGGCAGAAGGGCACGGAGCGGCGGGAGGCTCAGGAAGCGGACAGGGAGCCAGGAAGGGGCCAGGAACAGGAGACGTTCCCGAGGGCGTGCCCCCCAGGACCCATCCCCTCCAAGGAGGGTGCACCTCCTCCATCCGCCATGCTCCAAGCAGTCCCTCAGTGGATTAATCCACATAGACAGTGGCCCGCGCTCGTCTCTGCTTAAAGTAGAAACTGAGGCTGACATCGACATTCCAACCTGGGGCTTTCCCGGGGGACGGGTTCCGAGGTGTTGAGCAGAGGATCGAGCCCCTAAATGCTGCGAGGTGCCACGGAATCAACCAGGGTCCTTTAAAAATACTGGAATAATCGAAAGCTCCGTGGTGAACATTTTTTAAAACGAAGCAATAATATTGTTGGCTGCTAAAATCTGCCACAAACAAGCAAATTCATTATCACATTGTGGGAAAGGATTTTTTTCAACATTAGATCAAGGAGCCCAATAATAATCTGTTACTGGGCGGATAATTAGAGGCAGGGACTGGCCTTTTCTCCTGTAGGACGCTGCCCCCTGCAGGAAGAGCTCGGCTCTGCACGTCAGAGGGAAGGTTGGCCGCCTTCCGTTTCCTTGTGTTCGACTTAGTTAATGAGTAAGATAAGGGACAGGTGAGAGGTCTCCTGGGCCATTTATACTGAGCCTGTGGCACACATTCAGGTGACAGTTAATGTGCAAAAATAAACCTTGAGTTTCTTCTTAAGAAAAGATCTAATAAGCAAAGATTTCCACAAAAGGCCACTGTTTGCCAACAATAAATAACAGACCCCAAAAATAACCATTAAAATAGTAAAAAAAAAAAAAAAAAAAAAAGACACCATGACTGACACATCTCTGCATTGTGCAATGGCCAAATGAATCTCTCCTTCAGATAACTGAGCAAAATGAATCATAGTGGGGTTTTTTTTTGCTTTAAAATAACACTTCAATTTATAAGTCACCAATTGGATAACCGTATTTTAAGTTCTATAGATAAGATGACCCTACACATTACCCTATTCTTTATCTCGTCTAGACAAATCGGGTCTATTCCCACATGGTCAAGTTCTGAAAAGGGTTGATAAGCAAAAAGCTAACCTAACAAATAGTTAGAAACCCATTGAGCTACTTCTTCTAGAGCTGTCTTGGAGACCTTCTGTGCTGTGGATTGGGTCCTCTGGAAGCAGACGGTGAGATGTCGCTGGGGAAGGCATTTGTTATGAATTCACACGCGGGAAGAGGAGGAAGAGGAGGTGGAGGAGCTGAAGGTGCGGCAGCCCGGAGCCAGGCACGGGGCCGGGGGGACATGCCCCTAGAGCTGCCCCGTGTTGGAGTGGAATGACCGGGTCGTAGGCCCTCCCCCGGCCTTCGGGGACGTGGGTCGACCTGGGAAAGATGTGCCTTTGGGCAGAGGGTCAGTCTGCAGCCAAAGCAGCCCTGGAAGAACCGCCTCTTACCGCGCTGCCCAGGCTGGGCTGCGGCACTGACTTAGAGGGCAGTGTGGTGGCACATCACTGCCCACCACCCGCCGACCCGTACATCCATCTCTGCTCGGGTATCGTGACAATTGACGCCCGAGGTGCTCCCCAAAAGCTCCTGTGTGAGACGTGCAGGAAGGACAGAGGAGAATGAGTGGGTACGAGGGCCTTGACCTCATCAGTGCCTTAATCCCCTCGAGATTAAGGTGGGGTGTGGCTGGAGAAGGTGGGTCACTGGGGTGTGTCTTTGTCCCTCATGAGCAGAGCTCTCTCTCTCTCTGTCTGCTTCCTGGTGCCACGTCCCTAGCTGCTTTCCTGTGCCCCCATGATGTCCTGCCTCACTGCAGAACAGATGGAGTCGGCCATCTAGGGACTGAGGCCTCTTCCACTGTGAGCCCCCAAAGAAACATTTCATCCATGAAATGGCTCTTGTCAGGTCTTTGGGGGACAGTGATTTTCAAAAGCTGACTACCACAGGGACCGTCTCAATTCTGGTCTTGGTTTACTGATGAAGTGACACAGATCCTCATCCCTGTGGGGACCGAGCCCAGTCAGTGAAATGCTCTTTGAAATGAGGATTGTGGCCTGTGTCATGCTGGCCGCAGTGACCTGCCACCCCTGAGATCCAGCACCCATATTTCTTCCTGCCATGAAGGTCGCCGAGAGAGTGACGCGGCCTCATCCTGCCTGCTGCAAACGAAAATCCTGAAGCGCTCGGGCAGCAGCTGTGGGATTCCTTCCTGCATCCAGTTCATGTGGCCCTTGGGGACAGCACCTCTAGTCCTACAGAGCCAGGGCTGGAGGCATGAACCGTCCCTGTGGGTCACAGGAGTGAGCGGGGACCTTACTGCTCTTGGCACTGAGATCCCTGCAACCTGGTCGTTGGAGACACAAAGCCACATTCAACCTGTGAATGCACGTCTAGACGTCACACTCCAAGGACAGCTTCCCGTCTGCACAGGCGGCCGGTAGTGCTCCCTAAGGCCCCCCGGGTTGGTTCCTTCTGAGCTCTGGCAGCTGGGGACCGCCCCGTCTCTGTGTGACACAGGGTCCCTGTTCAGCCTGACCTCAGATCTCTGCCTTCACCAGGTGTATCCCATGTTCTTGCTGTTGGAAGCTCGGCAGGCAGTGGTGCAGTTGCAGGCCTCTGCCCACCAGGGGGCGCCCTGTGTACAGGATTGCTCCACGGGACAGTCCCCCAGGACCTCCCGGCTAGTCACAGCAGGAGGAGGCCATGCCCCCAACAGGAACCTCTGCAGGATCCTCCCATCAGCTCACTGTGTCTGCAGACAGGGAACCCGGCGGGAGCAGTGGTATTTCTAATCAGGGCAGCGAGCATGCTAACAGCCAGTGCAAATGGTCCCTATCTGCACACAACTAGAGAAACACCACCCCCTTTACTCCCCCACATCCCTGTTGCCATCCTAAAAAAATAATGCCATGAGGGTGAGAGGGGAGCGCTTTTCCGCAGGTACATTCTGTGGGAGTGATAAGCACATGTTTACAACAGGAAGAACGGTAGCAGCCTTTGCGGTCTCCATTTCCTGGGCATTTTTCTCTCGGGTGGTTTGTAAAGGTCATAAAACCGTTTAAGAACCTTGAAAGAACAAGGTGTTTTCCCTGAGAAGAACGCTAATTATGAACATGTACCTCTCGGGCGCTCGGGACCTCGCTGAAGCCCACCCACACATTCTGGAAGGTTCTGCGGGCCCTGGAATTCATCACTCGGGGTGAGTACAGCCTGCCCTGGGTCTGGAGTCAGGAGACTTGGTGAGGAGCCTGGTTCTGTCCTGGGCTGATGGCTCAGCCTCCGGCACGGCAGGTGAGTGCCCCTTACAGCTGCACTGTGAGAGGGTCACTGTCCCCCACAGAGCGTTTATGGGTGGTGAGAACACGGCGGGAAAGCGGCCAAACTGGCTATTCTTCCAGTTACACTAAGACTCTTGCTTACACCTTTGACCTATCCCCGGGATTTCCTCAGGCGGTTGCCCTCCTCCCCTCTCTTCTGGGCCTACTGACCAGGCCACTCACCTCCAAAGCAGTTTCCACTCCTCAGCAAAACAGCGACGCATTCACCTGTAGGAATTTTTGTGCACCCTGAATCTGATGAATAAAATCCCAGCCAGGCGTGGTGGTGCACGCCTGTGATCCCAGAGACTCGGGAAGCTGAGGCAGGAGGATCCCAAGTTCAAAGCCAGCCTCAGTGAGGCCCTGAACAACTTAGCACGCTCTGAATTAAATATAGGACCTAAAAGGGCTGGGGATGTGGCTCAGTGGCTCAAACCCTGGCACCAAAAAAAAAATAAATAAGTAAAATCCTAACAATCATTCTCAATGCATTTGCATTGTATGAAACACCAATCTCTTCCCAGTGCCCGTATGATACCTTAATTAACTATCCTGACACTATCCGTGTCTCCACGTGCTTGCTTTGCACTTGGAGGGAGTGTTCTTCACACAATCACTCTGGAGTTCACGGACCCCTCTGCTACTGGGACATGCACCTACTTTGAATTGGTGAGTCATTTCATTCCCCTGCTGTCTTAGTTTACTTGAGTTACTATAATGAAACACCGGAGGCAGGTGAAGTTTAAAAAGAAAACAGGTGTCTTTAGTTCACTTTTGAAGGTTGAAAGTTCAAATACCGTGGTGCAGGCTCTAGAGAGGACGCCCTTGGCAGCATGACCTCATGGGGGATGACAGGGGAAGAGTGTGGGAGAAGGAGGTCACAGAGCCAAATGGGAAGCCAGACGGAGACGGGGGTCTCACAGTCCTTTCTGAGGGCCTGATCTCAATTGACGAGAGACCTTCCTATTAGGCTCACCTCTGGAAGGACCCAGAGCTCCCACATCCTCACCCTGGGGACCAAGTTTCCCAACCATGAAACTTTGGGAGAAAAGACAGTCATGCCCTCTGCTCTGGGGCAAGGTCAATATGTCAGGTTATGACAGTCTTTGGGGTAGCACAGCTGTTCTCCCCAACTTTCAGGAGCTCCCTGAACTGCCACACAGGATAGAGACATGGACATGATGCCAGCCAGACCCTCTTTCCATTGCTGTGACAAAATACCTGAGGAGATGAACTTGTAAGGAAAAAAAAAGGTTAATTTTGCTTCATGGTTTCAGAGGTTTCTGTCCACGGTCACTTGGTCTCAATGCTTTGCACCTGGGACGAGGCAGAACATCATGGAGGGGGACACACGGTGGAGAGAGCATGACAGGAAGCACAGAGTGGGGGGCCTGACTTCCTCCCATGGCCTGACTTCCTCCCACCAGGCTTCACCTCCTGAAGGTGGCACCACCCAACAGCCCCAGAGCAGGGGCCATGCCTTCAACCCACAGCACTGGTAGGACATTTCAGACCCGAACCACAACTACACGAAAGAGCCAGCTGCTATGTCTGTGCAGGAGCCCCGTGTGAGTGTGCACTGGTGACCCCGTGCGGGTGGGGGACGGTGGTCCTCACGGCCTGCCCCTCTGTCGGCCTGCAAACCCTCACATGGTCCTCACCGTGCAGCTGCCTGTCCTGTTTCCCCAGCCCCTGGGGAGAGGCCAGCACTCCTCAATGGCCCTAGAGGGGCTCAGGTAGGTGGGGCTGTGTGTCCCCATAAGGACCCACGATGGGACTCCGAGTCACGGGGACCAAAGCGACCAGCCTGCCCACACGGCACCTTCCAGGCCATGGGAGGGCCACTCAAGCCCAAGGCTTCTGACCCCTGTGCCTGTGAGCCCAACCAACACGTCGTGTTTACAACATGAAGCTCAAAGGAGCCACGGGAGAGGACAGACTGACTGCAGTGGCCACGGGCCAACCTAAAGTCAGGCCACCCCACGCTGCGTGCTGACCGAATCCACTTTGCAGACCTTACGGAGGATGTGATTCATCCCATATCAGTCTCCTGACTGAACGGGATGTGTGTGTCTGTGTTCAAGTATCCATTTCACAGAATGGTACAGCCGTCGTCTATGAAGCGTGGTCAGCTCATTCTTTATTAAATAAAGTGAAAGAAAGGAACAAAGGCACCTCCCTGTCATCCTCAGAGCAGAAATGAGTCTTAGCATGTGTCTGTGTATTCCACTTGCAGAGGCCTAGCGAGACGTCTTCTGACCCTTCCAGCCAGCGCAGGTTCCCGCTGGAGTTTAAGAAAGGTCATCCCCTTTTCCTGACCTCAGGACAGCAAGCCCTGTCCCCAACATGACGTCCTGCCCAAGAAATCCCGGCAGGCGCTGCCTTTGAGGGCCCAGGCTCTCCCGAGGTTCCCCGGGCTCTTGCCACAAGCGCTGCTGCCACACACCACCTGACGGCGGGCGGTTCCTGGTCTCGACGTCACCCTGGGGGTGACGTCACCACGTTGTCACCCCACTGGCCGCCAGGGCGCCATCTAAAGGACCCCTTCTTCTCTTGCCTCCTGTAGCTACCTGCAGTCTGGGGAAAGAGAGTCTCCTTTTAAATCAAGGGTTTGTTAAGTGCATTCTGAAAACCAGGTCCACCTCCCTCCTGCCTCCCCGCTCCCCCCTCCCCCCTCCTCCCCTTCCCCGTCCTCCTCTCCCCTCCCCCATCCTCTTCTCCACCTGTCCCTCTTCCTTGAAATGAAGACACTGTAAACCGCCTCCTGAAATCAGTTCCACTCTCTGCTCCTCCTCCTCTTCCTTCTTTAAGTGGATTTTTTTTAAAGATTCATGACACAGAGACACTTGGATGCCCCTGCCGGGGGTGCAGTGGTGCAGGACGGCCCCGCGGCCTCTCCTCGGGTCTCCGTGTTTCCCCACCAGGGGGCAGAGCTGAGGCGGAGCGGTGGGGCAGGAGGGTCTGGCTGCAGCAGTTAAGAAAAGGTCCCCCCCCTCCCCCGCCTCCCCCTCCCCCTCCCCCTCCTCTCCATTCTGGGAGCGGGTAAGACTTCACAGGGGCTGAGCCCGTCTTTGGATGTGCAAAGCCACCCTCAGGTCCCCTCTCCCAGTAAAACCCGAGGAGTCTGAGGAGCCAGCCTCCCCTGGGCGCTCACAAATGGCCTCTTTCTTTCTTCTTCCATCCCAGCTTTAGCAGTGCTCCCCGGATCTGGAGAGTGATGACTCGGCTTCACCCAGGGAGAGGGCTGAGCTGTCACAAGGACAAGCCAGGGGCACACAGGGTCAGACTCCACAAACACCCAGCAAGCAGGAGTGGGCCACCTGGAGAGAGGGGGATGGGGGGAGGATGGGGGCTGGGAGGGTGGCGGGTGCAGAGGGCCAGGCAGCACTCCAGCAAACACCAGAAACCAGGATAACCACTGCACTTACCCCACAGCAGGAGACCAGGAGGCCCACAGCCAGGCAGTGAGACCACCAAGTCCTCACAACAGGGGGCAGACCGACAGGGATGGTGGGGACGTGGCATTAGGGCATAATTCTATAACCGGGCCCACTACTGACCCCCACGTGCTTCCTCTTTTAAAAAGCTGTCACCTGCAGCCCTGCCCGGCCAACAGGACGTGCTGCACTCCCCAGCAAAACAGCCGACATCTGCAGGAGAGATGGAGGTGCACCACCAGATGAGAACACAGGTCACCCTGAAGGAGGTGCCACAGCGGAGCCCGGGGGGGCTCTGAAGGCAGCCCTTGGGGCTGGGCCAGCTGACTTTTAAAACAGACTTTTCCTCTGTCCCTGCTCCTCCCTAACCCCTCCCCTTCCCTAACCTCAGGGGAGGATGGCCTCTTCCCCATCCTCGGCAGAGCTGTCTGACCCTGAGTCCACACCCTCCCCAGGAACAAAGTCATCCAGACTGTGCGGATGGCACCAGGTGATCTCAGAGATGACTGTCACCCACATCAACAAGCGAAGGGCAACCCCAACAGAGAACCTGGGGCGCGCTGCCTCTGAGTCACCTCTTCAAAAGCCCCCTCCCCGCTCCTGCTGACAGAGTCACAGCCTCTGGGACAGGAGTCCCCTGGGTCTCTCCTTTGCTAGCAAAGCCATAAACTTTCTTTTTCTTTTTCTCAGAACTGTGTCCTTGTTATTGGATCGGCATTGGGGACAACGACTTGAGCTTTTGGCAACAGAGGGACTTTTGTGACCCTGACACAGACCAGATCCCAGAGCTCAGGGGATCAGGATGATTCCTTCTGACCATAAAATCTATAACAACAGGTTCCAGTGAGAGTCCTCAGTACGGGCCAAGGTGACCTAGAGTGGCCATGGCAGAGGGGACTACAAAGCCTGACGTCACCCTGCTGTCAGTCAAAAAGTCAAGGGTGGTCAAGGGTGGCCCTGGGCGGGACTCTCTGGAAACTTCTCTGAGACCCCCCAATACAACTGGAGTGTAGAGAGCCCCGTCCCCAGCCCTATTCTGTACTTTATTCAGAGACAGGGTCTCCCTGAGTTGCTCAGGGCCTCGCTTTGGCGGAGGCTGGCTTTGAACTCGCGATCCTCCTGCCTCTGCCTCAGAGTTCAGCAGGTGGAATTACAGGCACCCGGCTCACCGTAGCCGATTCCCATGAAGAAATCTCAGAAGACAGACAGAAATAAGCCCACACACAGACAGGATTGTTACAAGTCCCCCCTCATGAAAAGAAATAACATGCAAAACAGTTCAACTTAATTTACAGACATTATCTCTTCCCATGTTGCTGAAATCTAAATATTTTAAGTCACAGTAAATGTCTTTATAGAATCTCTTGGGGAAAAAAATGTGAATTCTCATATATTTGAGCTCCACGACAAACAAGGTTAAAGTTTAAGAAGACATCACTTTTTTTCTTATTAAATAGTTAAGCTTGGGGCCTGGGGATATAGCTCAGTTGGTAGAGTGCTTGCCTCCCATGCACAAGGCCTTGGGTTCGATCCGCCAGCAACACACACACACACACACACACACACAAATAGTTAAGCGCAACATTTTGCATCTTCTGACTGAATATGGATGATATTTAAAGCAAGTCCCGGGACATGAACGCCGCCCTCTGTGGAATGTCCTGTATGGAGCAGAAGCACTGCCCTGTCTACCCGGGGGTCAGTGCTTGGTCTCTGGAGAGAAGAGTCCATACAGGATGGCGCCCAAGAGATGTTCTGGTTCCAGGGTCTGAGAGATTCTTTCCTCGTCTGACCCTAACATGTTTAGTCCGATTTGTGGGTGTATCCAATGTGTGCACGACACCACAAGGAACATCAGCTGGATTCCAGGAAAAATGGAATGGAGAGACCCGTTCCAGCCTCGGAGAGACGGGTCCTGTGTCCCTATGGGGAGAAAACGCTGCTGCAGCCCTCAGTGTCCCCAGATCTGCGTCTGATTTCAGGAGAACTGGGCCCTTCCTGCAGCCTGTCCGGAGGACTCCACCTTCCCACTTTATAATACCTTCAGTCACTTGCATTTTAGTGGGGGGTACGCAAAACCAGGTAGAAAGGAGCACTAAGAAACGCATTTCTGATACTTTTATTTCCATAAATGTTACGTTTAAACAATTAGAAATATCTTATCGATTTGCCTTTTCAGGAACTTCCCTGAAACTCCTTCTCTGATCTCTGCTCCTCCTCGCTGTGCTGCAGAGCTGACACCACAGGGCCTCGGAGGCTGCACGGTGCTAACTGGGTCTTGTGGACGCACAGATTGATGTGATTCCTTCTGTTAGCTCAGGCCTCCCTGGCCCCGCTGTCACCAGCCAAACCCCCAATTCCTGTGCCCTTAGGACGAGCCCCTCAAGCGGAATCCGATGCTCCCAGCAAGAAGCAGCATTCTTCAGCTGGCAGCCCAAGAGAGGGTGAACACCATCCTTATTCTTCTCACCCCTTTGGGAAACCAATTAGATCCCTTTGGACACTGCCCCTGCGCCTTCCAATCTCTGCCAGGTGCCAGAAGAGAGAGAGTTCAGTCTCACTGTGCCTTGAAAAAACCATCACAGAATTCTGGATCCAGAAACATCACAGTTCGGGGAGAGCACAGAACACGTGTCCCGAATCCCACTACAGCCTCTTCTTCAAAGACATCCTGGACTTACGGATCAAACTGCCACCTGACAAGGAAATACCAACACGGGCACAATTCCACCAGCGCATCACACTCGGACTTCATCGTATGTACGCTTACGTCATGCTCTGTACTTGGCTGACACTATCTACACGACTACCACTTCTTCAATGCGAACTCAAGAGCATTCCCTACATTCCAAGCAAGACCCCTACTGTCCATAGTGAGAGGAAGACCTAAGCCCTGGCAGGGCCATTAAACCTGGATTCCAGGACTTATCAAAGACCTGAGGGACCAGAGAGGTTGAATGCTGGTCTCCATACTGATTCTCCATGTTCTCTGGCTGCTCCTAAGACAGTCCTTAAACTCTATTTAAATCAGAGACTAGTTATTAGATGACGACGGAGCACTAGTGTGGGCGGTAATTCATATTGCAATTAATGAAACGGTACGTTCTTGTAATGAGAAGGCTATTATTGTCTTGTAGAGCTTAGCCAAGGGCACAGGGAAAATGGAGCATCAGACATTCGTCTTTGGATCTTTTGAGAACAGTCTATTACACTTTTCTAATTTTATTCTCCTTTCTTTATTCACAAACAAGGGTGCTATTTTGTGTTGATGAATTTCTCAGCTTCTATTAATTAGCCGCGTCTAACAAGTTACTCCTGTGTTGGTAAAGGGAGAGGAGAACCAGGAGGGAGTGGGTTCTATCTGCTGTGTCTCCCGTGTGCCTAACACGCGTTCTCTTACATTAGCTCACACTTGCGGCTTAACACCTGAGAGTTACAAAAGATAAAACCCATGAATTCTGCAGAATTAAATGAGATTCCAGAGGGAAACTTGCTCTCTTTCAAAACTGGCAGCTCTGCTTTGTTCCCACAATGGACTCCCGTTGCGATGTGGAGGGCTAGTGTTTTCTGGCTGATTGACACATTCAGAGATTAGCCAAGGACAAATCTGAAAGCAAACCAGGAGTGGGCCCTGGCCAGTGCCTTCCTGGAAGGCCACATCACAGCCTCGAGCTTCATTCCAACACATGGGTTTAAGGCAACAACGTGCTGCCAAAGCCAGACTCCAACAGAGGTCTCTGGCGCTGAACGGAAACCCGCGGGAATCGTTTCCAGGACACGGAAATCCTAAGATGGCCCAGCCAGCCGGCCTGGCAACACTTTATACTGTGATTGAGCAAAAAAAGGCTTCATTTTTAACCGGATGGGCGTAAACGCTGGTGCGTAGGTTAGTCGAATCGCGGGACTCCTAAATCTCCAACCGTGTCTCTGAGCATGTACCACCATGGGACAGCATACTGTGCCCTGTCACGCTGGCCGTACGTCCTGTTTACAGGATGGCTCCCGTATGTAGAAGATACGATTCTGCTCCAGTTTCTTATTTGTAGGACAATCTATTTTCATTCCTATCATGAAGACCCCATAAGCTCCAGATTATGACGACCAGCCCCTTTTAACACACCTGAGCTGATTTCGTGGAAATATTCACAGAATTGAAATTTGGGGACTAAGGGTTTACCCTCCTCTGGGTCAGAATCCTCTGAAACCACTGAACGGATCAGGAGGGACGCTTTCTGCGGGGCCACATTCCTGCCCTGCAGGCCGCACACAGCTGTCTGTATTGCAACCACTGACACCGGCCGATGCCTCCTGCCCTGTCCCCAAGGCTGCCAAGTCCCTGTCAGCTGATGCACATTAAGGCAGGTAGCCGGGGAGGGCCAGGCACTCCCTGACTTGGAAAGTTACTGTTTCCTGTCATTTTAGCCCCTCCGAACTGCTGTCGTGTCTTCTACACATTCACTCACCCAGGAACCTTCCAACGTTGCTACCATCTATCTTCCTAAAATGGAATTCTTCCCTAAATATCACTTCATGAAATTCAAAAGAGAGAGAGCGAATACTCAAGGATTCCTCAGGAAAAGAGCTCGGAAAGTTCAGATAAGACAAGCAAACTGAACACTGAGGTGTCTGCAAAGTCTTTTTATTCAAGGACAAATCTGATCACTTATAAAAAGAGTTCTCATCTCCATGACCCATTAAACCTATGAAAGCCTTAAACATTATTGTCCTGCGACCAAATGGCACATTACAGGAAAAGAAATTACATTTAGTTTTACTATTTGAGGCATCTGAATTACTATTCAAGGAGTACTTAATTTCTTATGAATAAAGTTTAAAAAGAAAAATGTATATACCCTGCTATTTAATGCAAGGACTACAGACTTTCATGACGTCGGTAAATCTGCCTTGAGCCCTGCAGCTACCTGCATCCTTCCACACGTGCTGGCCGGCTGAGGAGCTTCTGCAGCCCCTGCAGGAGGGAGCCTGGGAGCACCAGCTCTACACAGCTGACTCAGCCCAAGGTCCTGCGTGCACACAAGCTTGCAGACAGAGATCACAAGCCCGACTTCAAAACCTTGTGCCCTTTCGCGTGCATCACGGAACTAATCTGCAAAGACTTTGTCCTGCAGTGAATACGTGAGACCTAATTCTGTCGTCGTACATACTGCTGTATCATTTTTAAGCTCATGGAATGTTTATCGGTAGGATAAACAATGATGGCCAGCCCCCTTGTATTTCCAGGGTGAATATGTGCTGATGGGTTAATTCTATGCTGGGTTTTGGGTGCAACCTACTGTGTAACCAGAGGCCAATTCTGGCCTCCTGACCATCTACCAGGACGTCGGGAATTGGGGCTGATGCTGCCCTGTTGGCCCCACTACAGACCAGACAGCAGGCGAGGGCGGGCTGAGTGCATGCACAGTCAGGCCAGGGCCGCGGGCACCGGGGACATCCACACAGGCTTTACCCACCCTGGATGACACGCCGGGCCTCATTAACAGTCTCCTCGGGAATCCTGTCTCAAATATGTGAACAGGGCCTTGGGGCCAGGGACAGAGACGGAGGAGCTTCTTCTGAATTCCACCCTAGACTTGTGCTGGGCGTTGGAGACGATCATCTGTCACAATGTAACAGAATGTACACTCAGTGAGTCCCTGCGCTCCAATGCTGCAGATGACTTAGGTCCCTGCCC